CTCTATTTTCAGTTCAAATTATTTTTATCAATATATATAGGATATTTACTACTTAATCTAAATAAAACTTTTGGAGATTAAAGTAGGTTCTAATAAATATCAATTAGCGATAGTCTTTCTTAAAATTTAATTCTTCAAAATTTAAGCATTATCAAATTATTTTATGTATACTAGTATATAGAATTAAGTTTTTATAAAACAACCAAATAATAAGATCTAAGCTCTTATTTGATCTTTCGAAAAGTTTCCATTCTAACGTCAACTTAGAATCTAAAACTGTGTTAGAATAATCCTATTTTCTATGTTCTACAAACGATGACTAGCATCTGCTGGAAACTTTGACGTAATCGGATATCAAGCGGCGCGACTGACATGTAAATCGTGATCGAATGGAGAATCGAACCCGCTACCACTAACTACCGCTGCCACTGCGCTGACTCAGCAACATCTACTACACCTGCCGTCGCACCTCCAATCACAAATAGGCCTATATCCATTTAGTATCAAGCTAAATTAAAATCAATTAATTGATACAAAAAAGCTATTTTCCTTTAACGTAACATCTAGATACTTGGAAAAGTTAAGACAACAACACGTCATTGTAATCACTGCTTCAGTAACTACAAACAGATGTGTCTGATCGCATTAAATTTAATCTTGATTATATATTTATCTAGTATAGGTACGTATTCTTTGACGGATACATAGATCCCAAAGCTGCAAATATCAGGTAAAGCCAGTATATATTAAACGTTTCTCACCGTCAACCTTCGTCAAAACTTCATCTAACGCATCCATATAATCATACCCAACCTCTTTTTTTTTTCAAAAACATAATTCCTTGATCCCTAATGCTAAAAAAAGTAAAGATGTTTTTAATCTACCATTTGAGAGATTGACAGGTCGGTTCCCGCGCCGAGGTAACAGGTAAAAACGTTGATTAAAAATATTTCAGCGAAAGCCCGCGATGTTATCGGATTTTCTTTTATCTTCATCTTGTATTTTGTTTCTTCGTGTCGGCAGCATTAAAAAAAAAATTCATGATTTATTATTACGTATATATAAAACATTAAAAGTTGCCATTATATAATAACGAAAACAAATAACAAGGAAAAACACATAAAACCCCTACAGTCGGCGACATCTTAACTACTAGTAAATTCACCCTATGAAATAAGCCATTTCTCAAATTGCATGGCGAACGAATTCAACACAGGCATGGCTGAGTGCTCTTAGAAAAAAAATATCGAAGTAAAAGCATCCCCTAAAATTATTTTAGTGAAAAGAAAGGAACTTAATACACCCCAAGCCTCCCCATAGGCGCACCCCTCGGTACGTCTGTGTGTTATACTGCACATGGTTATGTGTGGGTGTGTATGTTTATGTGTGAGTACCCTCCTAGTAAAGCAGATGACAGCTGGGTAGGGTTGAGAAAAGTTCCGATAAAATATTATATTAAATTCAATAAAAAATATAAAAGAAGTTATTAATATTACGAGTGGTTGTAAATTAGATTCTAGGTACAAGCTTTGATTTACGATTTATTTTTTTACTATAACCTAGATATAAGTTCTCAAAATTCTTATATAAATTCTTAACTTTGTGCTGCAACTTAAATTCTATGACAATAATAATAAAATAATACTCTTACAATTGTTAATAACAAATATTATTGTAATATTATTATTGGAATGTGTCAACCCTTAGCAGACGGTGTCGGGAAATCAACACACACATCAACATACAAGACCCTACAGAAGGGCATAAAGCGACTGCCGATATAACGACGTATATAAGGGCTGGTGATTTTAAATTCTACTTTATGTGATCAATAGTTTTTTTATCTCTATAGTAGTCCAAATATTTTCTATACCTTTTCTACATAGACTACATACAATTTTTTAAATAAATTGCAATGATAATTCTAATTCCGAAAACCAATTAATGCTGAAAACTAGAATAAAAAATATATACAAATAAATAAATCAAGGCAAAAATAAATTGGGTTTTTGGCAGCCTTTCAAAATAGAAGATGTAGTGATTTATTTCTATCGAAACCTCAAAATCTACTCCGAGCCCCTCCTATTTATTAGACATCTCACGTACATCTGAAGTTCCCAAATCTACTTCAGTATGTATGGATTACATTGTTTTCATTATTTGGACTTTCTTAGTCATACTTTTATATTTCATACAATAGGTAAGATTTTGCCTTGAATTGAATTTCATTCAATAGAATTTATATTTATGAATATTGAAAGATATTTATTCAAATATGTTGTACCTACTACTGTTTATACATATTCTTATATCGACTTAGTTATTTAACCTAAGTTTAAAAGTAACGTAAAAATTTTCAGTGAAATAACTAAGTTAATTTAAACTATGTTTCTTTCCTATAGTAATTTTAAATAATACGATGAAAGCATTCTTCTATAGCTCCCGAAATTTGTTCTTTATAAATAAATTTTATTTTTGCCATGTCATAGACAGAAATTTATTTTTTTATACAAAAAAGTAACAATCCAGGTAATTTCTTAACTCGAAAATCACTATAGGGACAAGCCAAAGACAGTCCGACAAACAAAAATGTTCTCTTCAAAGCATTTCTAATATCAGTACTAAAGAACTGTAAGCTCCTTGTTATCTCGAAGGATTTGTAAGCCGCCTTGCAAGTCACCGTTCGCACGCACTTCCTCAAAGTACTCCTTGGAGAATTGTTCTTCACCTGTCGATACTATTACTTAGCTACTTCTACTTTATTTCATATATTTAAGGGTTAACATCATATTGAAATTTCTTTACAATAATACCTGATTTAAATTTACACTCCTTTAGAATGAAGTCATATATGTGACAACCCTAGATTTAATTGAAAATACTTTCACTACATACATTGTATTAGATATGCTGACAATTGCTGCTGACATCATATCTTAATCGGTCTGATAGCTGTGATGGAACACTAAACTTATCAGACAAATACTTTATAACTTAAATTCTAAATGACAGAACAATGATAAGTATGAAAAACTTTAATTTATTATTCTATAATGAACTAGCTTTAAACCTTAGTTTGATTAAACTCTCATGAATTCTGTTCATTTGATTCGAGTTCTTATAAATTGGGCTCAATTTCTTTATGATTAAAGTGAAAAAAAAAACTTATTTTAAACTTATAATAGAAAAATATAGTAGTGTTTTAAAGGAATAACTGTTTAAAAGGCTACCGGTTAAAATATCTGTCAATCATTATCTCTTGGGACACCCGGTATAACAAGAAACAGAATTGCAATAAATCCGTCAAAGGGTTTCACTAAGAGACGGTAGCATAATCCTGTTATTTGCATACAACTCTCACAACAATACAACCTTTGTTTATTATGAAGATTTGCAAGAAATTTTAACTCTTCGACGCGCCGGCACAGAGAACACTGTCATCGTGTCATAGAAAATTAAAATCGTTTTTGCCAACCCTTTTTTTTTCGATGTTGCTAATTTTCAAAAGGAATAGTTACATGCATTTACTTCACCATTGTTTGATTTTGTAACAGTATTTCTTTTATTATTTCAATTTAAAAACAAACACACTAAATACTGCCTCTGTTTAATTTGAAACAATGTTTATTTGAAACAAAGCGTATATTAATAAGTTCAGAAGTAAATTTCTATTTGATAAAGAATCTAAAAGATATCCTACTGATCTTATTATATACAAAACAGAAACATTGGCTTTGTATCGATACCATAGAAGACGTCAGGGCGAGCGAGTAGAAGATAGGTTGCGTGCGGCCACACAATACGCGACGTTGATTGATGACTTAACATTCATCGAATACATTACCATTTTTGCTTTCATTTCGTTCGATATGAATGTTTTCATTCCATTCTATACGAATGGCGCAAGGCTATGATATGATACGTATTATGATGATATGATACGAACATATAAGACATGTATAATTCAGGTAAATTTAACATTTAACTCGTTCATTTAATACATCATTTATTTAGAATCAATGCTATCAATATATGGCGATAGAAATCTTTTTTCATGTTTAATATGAGTGGCTAATTTTCTGTTCTATAAGATTAAACTAACTGCTTAAATTAAAATAGTATTTAATAGTATATCAAAAGTATATGGTTTTAATATCATATGTTTCTGCCTTTTTATTATTTGTAAATGAGTTTTTTCCATTAAAATCATTATGAATCAAAGACTAAATAAAAACAAAAAGGTATTTCAGATTTATACTATATTTTATTGGTTTTATATTCACATTTTTTTTCTATTTTTTTAGTTACAAAACAATGTTTCCGTTAAAATTATTTCTTTTATTCTGTACCTAAACCTAAGCCATTGTCTTAATCACATTTTATTCACATATTTTAAACAATGAATAAGTTTTGCTAATATTTCATATTATTATAAAATATGAGTAAATTGTTACAATCTTGAAACTATTATTAGATATAAATATTATACAAACAGATGTTAGGAAAATAAATAAATAGTCACTAATTGTAACAGAATTAACTTACTTAAAGATGACTTACATAGCTAAAATAAACAAATGGTTATCGAATATACAAACATTACAAAATATAGAGAGAATGTGTTATTTTAATGTCAATTTGTTCCAAAATTAGCCTTTACATCTCCACATTTCTTGGTAACGGATTTGTTTAAACAATAAAACTGATTTAATACAGTTGTCACCAGATTTAGATGCATCTTCAAGGACAATGACTTACAGAGAAAAGTACAAACCCAACACTCAAATAACTACCCTAAAATAATCACACTTTTGACATTGTAAAGTTTTCCACTTAACTATCCAAACATCCAATTTCATGACTGTTATTAACTAAAATTTACTTACATCTCATCTTAATCTATATGTTATCATCACTTTATTACACCTTACGAATACTAAGGAATGGTAAGAATTAAATCATAGTCCATCAATGAAAATATAGTCTTTACATTTTATAGATTATAAGGCGGTTAGTCCATAGTCCGATTTGATGATTGGTGCGTTGCCAGTAGTGATGCCAGTCCCGCAGCCAGTACTGCCAACTGGTGACCCGTGGGCTGATAGATTTGCCACTAGTGACGGGTCCAGGCTAGCGTGCATTCCCATCATGTGCAAGTGGTGTGCGGTCATAGGATGTCCAGGATTCATCTGGTTCGACGGATGCGTCATCGGACTTATCGCTGGATCATGCGACATGTTCTGCTGTACACCGACACAGTGCAACTCGTTCATAATATTATCTGTAACATTCTCTATACTGTCCGGACGTCCGTTGTTATTTGATTTTTTCTTATCATTATTATTTGTATTTTTATTAGATCTACTCTTTGGCGTGGCCCCCTTTGCTGTGGTCGTGGTCACTCCGGCCGGATTAGTTTTTCTCCTAACATTTTTGGTATTCGGTAGTTTATTGTCTTTCTTCCATTTCATTCTTCTGTTTTGGAACCATATTTTTATTTGTCTCTCCGATAGGACTAGAGTGTGTGCTATTTCTATTCTCCTTCTTCTAGTAAGGTAGCGGTTGTAATGGAACTCCTTCTCCAATTCTAATATTTGGTGCCTCGTGTACGCCGTCCGCTGTCTCTTCGGCTCCATACCAGGTTGATAGTTTCCATTAGCTGAAACAAAATAGAATATTAATCTTCATAAACAAATAAATATAATACTTACAATATACTAATTGATAGTTTATAACCAAGGTAAGTACTAAACAAGCGTATGTACTCAGTAATGTGTTGTTAATTTATCGTGCACCTCAAATGAAATAGCGTTGCGTGTTGGGGACCTTACTGAATAAATTATGAGGTAGTAACAACCTCTCGGGTTCTGTTAATTAATGTGCATAATAATTACACGTGTACGAGCATGAGCTTCCTTTTTGCTTTTGATTAATTGAGTTTAGCAAATTTGTTGTTTATAACGCTTATAAATAAGTAGTTTTTATTTGTTAGATATTCATATATTAGACTGTTAGCTGATATTATTATTTTAAATGGTTTTCATTTTACGTTAATACCTATTTTCTGAAAATTAAATTTTTAATCTTGTTTCGTAATGAAACAAAACTTAATAGGAAAGCACGTTTATGTTGAAATTCAATAATATAAAACTCTTTCTAATACGTGGAAACTCTCATTGAACATATTTAAAAGATTATTTATTTAAAAAATATAGATACATACATATCAATATGAGATTATATATATATTTTTAATCTATAACAATCATTTGAAACAATTCAAACAACATAAATGTATGATTTTATCAATACAATATATTGTTATCGAATTTTTCAAAGCACGCTATTCATAAATGAATATAACATTTTCTAGTTGAATTCCTAATTATAATAGCTTTGTTTTTATAATATCCTCGGCCCTTAGATTTACAGTTTCATTTTATTCACAAATGGTAAAAAAAATCCAATTTTCGTATTATGAATGTAGGTGAACAAATTTATAGACCAATTTTCAGAAAATAATTAGTTTCTTTAGAATAAAATTCGAACTTAACAAAAGAAATTAGAATACTTTGTTGAGAATAGGCACAGGCTTTGTATAAAATTTCCTAATTTCCTTCCAAGGAAATTGCTCCTTTTTGTTAACTTGAAAGACTTTGTACGACGACCGAATAAAAGAAGGTTGAAAACTCAATTAACTATTCATGTAAACCAATGAAACTATTTCTAGTATTAATTTATTATAAATGACAGGTTTTTCCAATTTAATATATCCAAAATCTATTCCTTTTTCGTATTATTATTATTTGTAAAAAGAACTACAGAATAGAAGCTAATCAGTATCAAATCGATCAAAAAATATCTGAATTTTATTGTGACTATAAAACAACTACTAAATATTGTATTCAGACATTGTTCGTAGATTATATAAATATACTTTTTCATGGAAAAGTATTTTAAATCAATTAAAATACCTAACAATAATTGCTGTTTAAACCATTACCTAAATGTTACAAGCGCTAGTTCCTTTAAAAATTCAAGTTTAGTGTCTATTTTATGAATAGTTATTTGTTAAACCATGTAATTCTTATTTTCTTTTATTATATGGTTTTAAATGTTGAATATAGTTTTGTAGCAAATTTGTGATAAAGCGCTCTTTTGAACATGAATAAATTGTCTCAAAAGGCTAAATTCCAATGTATATTTTAGAAAGTCTTTGTTAAAAAAATAACCACTATGGTAGTGTTTAAATGAAACTAATACCTTTCGGATACACTACGCGACTTTATTTTTGATAAAACCGTGATCACGGTTACTGAAAAGTAGCCGAAACGTCGGGAGTATGTAATTTTAACACTATAGTTTTCATAAAAAAAATAACAAATATTATAACAAAGCAATTTCTATAAGACATTTATTTATAAATTACTTCATTTACATATTTGCTTGAACCTTAGCTTGAATTGCATTGAGTAGAAAATAATAAAGATTTTAATAAAAAAGAAACTAATATCATTAGATATGAACTTTGTAATTAACTATTTCTGAACAACTTTAATAAAACCTTTTTATATATCCACTTATACTTATTAAAGTTAGAGTACTTAATTGAGTTACTATCAAGATAACGTTAATTCTGACCACGTATACTATGAACATGAGAAATATTAAAATATACCAGGTAGATATGTGAATATATATGCATATTAAATTAATATATATAGAAAAAACAACTTTAAAATGATAATTTTATAAAGGAGCCTTAAAAAGCATAAATGTTACTAATTAGTAAAACATCGCAGGCACAAAATCAATTCATGTACACATTAAGAAGTATTGTTGCTGAGGAAAATAAATCTGCATCTATTTTCCTCTCGCTTTTTTCATTTATAAACGAAAGGGACGGAACATAGAATTCTTGGAGGAACATCGTGGTCAGAGCGGTATGCAAGATTGAAGGCCACTGAGATTGCCCGATGTCGTGGTTACTGACGTCAGAAAATGGCGTCTTTTAATTGATAATTGCGCATAAATGTATAGACTAAGATGACACATTTGATATACGCTTAAAAAGAATAAATATTTATTTATTACATTTATTAAAATACGATAAAAGAACAAGGATATTTCCAAATTGCTTAGATCGAAACAAAGAATTTTTTTTATCTTCCATACAATATTTTTAAATGGCTTACGTAAATCTCAAACGTGAACTTTCAGTAAAGAATTTTCTAGAGGTTGACCAGTGCGGGCCGTTCGGTATTTGCGGTCAGAACCTGTCGAGATTCCTTGAGTTTTGCGTGCAAAATTTAACAAACCCAACAGTACTAACCAAAAAATACTTCTTTACGCTAAGCTAATAAATAAATCAATAATATTTAAACAAAAATTAAATTATATATTTAATATTGTATATCAATATAGAACAGATCTTAATTAGTTGTAATATTTATATGCCGGCTACCGCGCACTCCGTCTTCGGTCTTCGGTTCGTTAGTTTCTATCATGATGGTATGATGACAATCTGAATTGAATCACCAACTACCTGAGGCCGTGTGGTCCTCAATCGATTGTCCGACACACGGTGGTCTTTTATTACTTGCTTGTATCACAGTTATGGAGTGAGGTATGCTGTTCATATGACAGTGTCGTGATAACGCTCGCGAATACTTTTAATCATTATGATTATTTTTGAAGAATTATCGTCGAAGTGCTTTTGTTATAAGTTTTTGTGACTGTATCGAAATTGAAACGGGTTTTTAGATATGTATGTTCTTGTATCTGAGTTAATCTATATAACTATGATTAAAATTCGGATAGGATTTTTGATATGAATAATATTATATCAGACTAGAATTTTTCGAAAAAAAATTCCATAGCAAAATTTTGAAGTTTCCATTAATATTTTTTTATAAATAAAAATGTTTAATGCTTATTTTTTGTATGCTAAATTATAATGATATAGTTACGAGTCTAAAATATCTTTATTTTAAAACTTGTCACTTGACCCGCGGGTCATTTTTATAAGAAAAAATCTGTATACAATACGCATAATTTAGACATGACATGCTTTCAAAAAGCTGTCAACAAATGATAATGTATGGTGTGAGAATGTCTTTGAGGTTTCAAAACATAGATATAATATATATGTAGTACCGACATCCGTTTTAATATTATTGTATATCTAGAATTACAAGTATTATTATGAACCTAATCGCTTGTGAAATAAGGTACATTATATTTTATTTTTTCGGTGATGAAGGAATGAAGGTCTTTACATTATCATAAAAGATCTTTTTAAAAATAAAATAATATTTTTTTTTGTTTATTGTTAGAACTTTAAAGGATAAGGGAAAAGATAGCTTCCATGCAATTTAAAAATTTATAGTTACAAGAGAAATAAATAGTTAAATATATAATAAGTTAAATTAGGCTTCCAAAAATTAAAGATCTATTTGGTTTATAACTTATATATACAAAAATGGTGTTTGTAGAAGATACAAATAATGTATTGTTGGACCGATTAAACGAAAGGGCTATATTATCATTTAATATTGAAAAAAAGTGCAATGTTTCACTTTAGGGCATATAAATTTCTATGTAATTTAAAAGTGTTTTTCTCGAGAAAATAGATTACAATTCTTTTCAATCATATATGTTTATTGTTCGAAGACCCAACGAATAAGTGGACACATTAATTATATCTTCTTTTTATATAAAGAAAAGGGAAATATAAGGCTAATAATGTCCGAAAAACGTTTGTTTGTGCAAATCATAACTAAGATTACACTTAATATGCTAAGATCTTTTATTCGCACCATGATCTTTCTTTTTCTATATATAGATACCTTTTCTGAAATTCTCATTAACGCAGCATGAATAGAAACTTGAATATTTTGAATAAAGGTTACATAATGATTGATTTTTGGTTCTGAAATTACCTTTTAGGTAAAAATTTTAAGTTAATAATCATAGAATATTTTCTTATTGTGTTGTAATTGGGCATGAAATCCTTACTTTGAGGCTCATAAATCTTTCAAATGTTTTAAATTAAGTAACAAAATATTTAAAATACAATATTAAAATTTATGATGAATATACTTATATACTATACTTAGATATATTTAATTATTTTAACTAAAATACATAGTTTTGTTTAAAGTATTTTATGAATATATAGAAATATACCTATAATAATTCATAGAGTATGTACACTAAGTATTACTTACAATAAAAACATAAAAGAATTGAAAAAGATATCCCATTTATCCAGATAAGGTTAGGTCCGAAAAATGTTAAAGTTTTACTTTAATACACGTAATTATAAAAAGAACAATTGTAAGTTAAATTATACTCTTCAATTTATTATTGAAATTTACGTAAATTTTACTCAGAACATTATAGCATTTTTTATTTTTTTGCTATTTTATGTATGACAATCCAAGGTAATCTAGGTAATAAGGTGAATATAGATATAGTCTATGGAATAATCTATAGTGAATATAGTCTATAGGTTTATATAAATATGTTTGTTATAGCAATTTTTGTTATAGCATCTGTCGTTTTGTAGATAAAACTTTAATAAAGATATTACAAACTAACCAATAAGCTCATTCTTAATTTTAACATATAAGTAAGGATGAAATTCATGTATGCATATAGAAGTCTCTGTAGACTTGCAGTCTAAAATAATAAGTATTTCTTTGTACGACTGTCATTAAAATACAAGTAAAACCTTTATTTGAAGTAAGTATATTACAATTTTTTAGACGAAGAATATTGATATAAATAATTTAAATAGATTAGCAATGCCACCTCCGTGTAAATGAATCTTTTATAAGTTTCTTTAGGTTTTAAAAAGATTAATTAAAGACAAAAACTGGACAAGGCGTTACAATATTGATAAATAGTAGGTATGCACTTTTTAGTGAAATTGAAAAGAAGGATTATTCCACATAAGGTATCCTTTACTTCAAGTTAAAGGCTAATGTTTTTCAATTAAAATGGAAAATGAATTTAACTATTTATTATTAAACATGCCTGAAACATTTAAAACCAAAATATGACACAGGAAAAACGAGTTTAAAAGGTATACTTATCCCTAGAAGAGATTTCTTCCAGAATTTATTGAAGAGTCATAATTTTATCAAAGAATAAAACTTTTATATACATATTATGTATATTTTTATATTTATGTATATTTTTATATGAAAGCAACTCGTATTAGTTACACTATTTATAACTCAAGAACGGCTGTACGGGTTTAGGTGAAATAAGTTAAGAGATAGCTAAGAACAAGGGAAAAGACATGGGATACTTTTCAATCAAAGTGCAAAAATACTGATAAAATCCAAAATCTTCCTATTTACTGCCTCTAAGGAGGAACAAAGTTCGCCGGGTCAGCTATACATATCTAATTTTGAAAGTAACGCGCTCAAAGTCGCGGGAATAAGTTAGTTTATTATATAAAAGAAAGTCATGCTAGTTACACTATTTATAACTCAAGAACGACTGTAGAGGTTTGGCTGAAAATTGATAGAGAGATAGCTTATAACAAGGGAAAATATATAGAATACTTTCATATGATTGAAAAAAAAGTGTCCAAATCCAAAAATTTCTTTAAGGAGGAATAAGCTTCGCCCAGTCAGCTATACCTACATTTCTAATTCTGAAACTAACGTGAACGAAGTCGCGGGCAAAACTACTATTTTTATAATAAAAGGGCTTTTAATAATACGAACCTTTTTAAAACAATACGGCATTGGAAAATTAACATTAAGATTCAGCTGTACAGATTAATAATATTGGTCTTATATTTTTGGTACTCAATACAAATTTTTATTTACCAGAAAAAATAAATATATTAATATTTTTAGTTTTATTATTATTCACCTTATCTTGATGTATCTTACTTAAAGTTTTATAAATTTATAGGGGTCCTATATAGCACTCGTAATTCAGAAAGACCAATATATTGTTTTATAAGTATCCTCAGCATGTTAAATAACTTCGTCATAAACTCAATAAAATCATTAAATTGAAGCAACCGCTACGAACTCAAACTAAAAAGCCGTTCCATTTGATGTTTATCAAAAGCCTATAAAAAAACTATCACCTCAATAGGACATTTAAGGTGCTTAAGGAACACAAATCAGTAATCTTCACGGCGGATTCCCGATCACGAGATCTATTTAAAAGTAATAAAAATAAATGAGTCTCATTACCATCCTTTTCGTCCTTTGTAATACAACAAAGATTCCTAAGACCTTCCAAACGACATCACATTAGTAAACTGTCAAAACAAATCAAAAGATACAAGCACAAAAACTCGAGTATCCGTAAACAGACGCTATTATTGATTGGTGGCAATTTGTTAATTTCTTTCAAGTGTGATACCGCAAACATTTGACATGGCGCCTTTTTAAAATGTAGTTTTGCGCTCGTGTTAAAATCATACAATCGCCGAATGGTGGCTTATATTAATGTGCCGCGATTAATCTTCGTTAGAAAAATTTTAAACATGTTTAACATTAAAAGTGCATTTATTTATGGTATAATATATACAGATATGGCGTAATTTTTCACGCAACGTTCTTTTTTGCATTATTGAGTTATATATTATATTTTAATGTATAGAATGAATTACTTACAGGCTCCAGCGACATGAATCTTCTTCATCCAGGGGTAAATAACTCTATCTGTGTTATCAGAACATATAGATGAATCGTCATCTTCTACCGGAGGGCTATCTAGGAGTAATCTTTCATCATCTAATTCCGATGCTGGCGAACCTTCGCGTCCTAACGCCTGTAGTTTCCTGCCAGCTGGTGCAGCTTCTTCTATATGTCTTTCCAGTCTTAATCCCAGTTCGGCTAGACCTGGAGTTTCATTATGTGGTACAAAGCCGTGGTCAGCGTCAGACGGATGGGATGGCTCTGGTGGTCGTGGTGGTGGTGCCACGGGTGGGTGTTGTGGTATCGGATGGTAATACCCACTATAGCCATAACCTGTTCCTATCTGTACTGGGTATTGGTGCTGATAGCCGTATTGTAAGTGTTGGTGTTGGTAATATTCTCCCGGTGGTATGTAGTCAGCCTGGCTGTATTCTTCCGATGGTGGGAACTTCGGGTCGGGCTGTGGCTGGTAACCACCGTTCATGAGGAAGCTCATTGTAGGCGGCGTCGAGTCGGCGCATCACATCCGAATACAAATGTTAATATGGCCGCCATTCAACTATTCTATTGAAGAACGGGAGCATTTTTTATTGCCTGTAAATAATGTACTTTGATTTGCGATTTGTAATTCTAGCTTTATATTATATATGAAGATTTTTTTTATATTAAAATAACATTGAACAGATTTAATGCTGTATCGCTCTGCACTTTTATGTTTATATAAATAAAATTAAATCATTTATATCGAGTACCAAAATTTTCGAACGTAATTGTGATATAATGATTTTTTTATTATAATATATATAAATAACCTCCATATATTTCGCTAAAATTACAAACCAGTTCAGCACTTACAATAAAACAGTCCACCGTATTAAATCACTGACACTCAATGTTTTGAACCGTACACTTATTGATGAATGTTGTTTTATTAAAACTGAAAATTTTTATTGCAAAGTCATTTGATTTATCACTTTATGATAATAAACAATGGCTGAGACTCGCACTCGCGCGACATTTTGAGACAATATACACCGCTCAACACGCCAACGTACTATGTCACTTTAAGGACTCCTATACATGTTCATCAATTTTTACATACCACCTTCCATTTTTAAGGCGGAGCTGTTCTTCATGCCTCTTACATGGAATGAAATATGCGAATTTTAACTCTATTCATATATAAATAAAGTTCAATTTTGTAAAGCTTGAATTATCAAAGCATTAAACCGTAACAACAATTCTCTACTTTCCACGCGCAAACAACTCTACCAGAGAGACAGGGATGGCTTCTGCGATAACGTATCGGAAGGACTTTACGAAATATACCGGTCTCTCTCTACCTTATAAGCAATTGTATTTGTGTAAAAGAGTGAGCTATATCACAATTCTCTATATGTAGGGATTAAGAAACCTTCTAATAATAATACAAAATGAACATGGTCTCCGTTCGTTACGACACTACACTTTTAAATATTTAATTTGCATTTCCTCTTTTTTAATACAGCCTAGTTGGTACGATGTGTAAATAATACACCTATCATTTAAAATTAATGAATAAATACAATTTGTGCTAACAAGTGTATGATATGCATTATTACGCATTTTTATATAATATTATTTTTTGTGGGTAGTTACATTTTTATATTCTTAAACTGCAATATTTCAAATACTTTGCATATACTATCTTAGAATCTGATATACCAATCAATAGCTATTGTCAGGAACATAGCATATAAAACAATAATCGAGCATACATTTCAAGCGCTTAATGCTATTTGATTAAGCTCAAGAGCACACCAGCTTAACCTATCACGAACATACAAGGAAGCCGACTTGGAATAAACAAAAATGTTCGGTGATTTTATTGAATTAGTCGATCACAATAGTAAGTGAACCGCTGAGTCATGACCGCTACCGACAAAAGGTAACCCGATCAATGGCTGTTTGATCAACGCGAGCCTTTGATTCATCATTGGTCTTTGGATGGTCACAATTAATACGATACCTACATTAAATGTGTATTGTCTGTTAGAACTCGCGAGTTTATATTTAGAATTTAGTTTTTGTTTCTTCAAACAGGTTTTTTTATAAAAATATTATAAGTTTTTTGTATATAATATCGTGTTTAATTCTATAAGAGAAATGATTAAGAACTCTTTCGTGAAAGCTTTTTAATAGTTGCTACTGAAATATTCCGAAGTTTAAGTTCACGTAAATCAATTTATGAATTCGTCTTCGTATTAGGTGCTAAGAACATATCACTTTATTTCTATGTTACATTGAACGATCGTATGAAAAAAATATGGAATTTTGTAAGGCATCAGAAAATATTTTATACAAATAAATAAAAAATCGTTCAAAGCTTATAATAAAACCGAAACCAATTCAATCTTCTGTCATCCAAAGTTTGAAGGAAGTTAAGTATTTTCTCGTTCCCTACTTTTGTTTTCCTCGAGCTAACTGGATGCAGGCTCGTTGTATCCAACGCCAACTTAATCCAAGTTTAATGAACAATACGACAGGCCTTTAATCAAACTTTGAAATTTGAAAACTGTGTCTATGGATTTTCGACTTTATTGTCCTAATGACAGAACTCATATCATTTAATCACATATAAAATGTTATAAGCCCTTTTGTATTCCAAGTAAAACTAAAGAAAAACCTATTTAGCTGACTTTGATCATATTATTTGTATCTTGTTTTGTCTTGGAAAGAGATTTGAATTAATTCACTTTAGCGCACATTCTAATCTATATTTCGGATTTTTTTTTAATAAAAAGAAAAATATTGAAGGGATTTGAATTTAAAATTCAAAGTAGTTTCGATATATTTTTTTCTACGGGGGATCGGATAGCCAATTTTCTGTAATGGCGGATTGCATTTTCTATCTTTGTTGGTTGAAGTGCCGACGTGTTTTGTAATATCGCCCCTCCCTACCGAGGGTTGGGTCTCACGAAATTGGATATGTATGAATTACAGATTATGTAGCAGCCGAATTTTTTGCAATCCGTGTAAGACAGAAAATCTGTTCGCAAAAAAACGATCCTTTCAACTTTATATGTGCGTTCTATTCATATATAGATAGACTTTTAATTTCATTCTAGGACAACGAAAATATTAAATTAGATATGAAATTTATTTGTTTTAGTACCAAAAATGTTAAGTAAGGATATCTGAGTATATAATTATGAAACTCTCTGTGAATTAATCGAATGTGTTCGACGCTTATCCCGAGTTTCTGATGCAAAATGTCATCGTACGTCAAACGATTGACAGTGAAATGTTCCCCTTTACCCCCACCTTCATTACGATTACGTCACTTCTGAATAGGGAAGGCTCTGCTCTAATAACTTGAGAAGGCTAATTGGAGTTACCATTTATAAATATAAATAGGATTTCATTTTAAACATTCGTATTAAAATTTTGCAAAACCCTAATGTACTTACTGGAGGAATTTGTAATTCTGTCCCTCAAGATGTTTCAGACTTTCTCTAAGTGGATTAAGTAGATAATGTGATCTTGATACGACATTACAAAATAAATTGCTAAAGCTAATAATCCCATATTTTGCCATTTCATACATACGTATGTCGCACAAAAACGTCAAATGTTACAGCGTTGAGGGGAAACGTTTGGTATTCTTGACAAGGCTGAAGCATGTGAGCTTAACGGATTCTAAATATTGTATCGAAACTGAACCTTATGTTTTGTGTTATAGAGTATTAAATTATAAAAATAATTTATGAACGTAAGGTCGTTTACAGCTGAATGAGCAGAGGTTTCATTAATCAACAAGCAGTCGCGACAGTGCAGCGGCGCTGGCGTCGTAGCTCGATTTTTTTCCTCTTGCGCCCTTACGTTGGATATCGGACGCGATTTCCTGGGATTCTTAGGGACTGGGTGGTCGGTTTCTATCAATAGAAAATAAGAAATTCTATTACAAACATAATCTTCATATAATCTTATCTAATACTGAACAATAAAATATGTTAACTAACCACATTGTTATAATTATGAATTATAGATTTGTTTATTAGTTTGATAACTTTAATTCTTGCCAATAGACTAATAATTTTTCATATAATGAATAAAACATTACCATAAAGCACAGACATAACATGCGAAATAAGTAGATTATTTGCATTGGCAACAGTGGATCATGTTTATGTAACATTTACTTATCGTTAGACCTTACCAGATGAGGGTGGAAGAATTTACATTTCAATGCATAATTTATCCCATGTACCTACTGCGTGGAAAACGTTTTTCGCTCCAAATAAATATTGCTTTTATCTTGCACCCTCAGTCACTCTTTACACTCCATCCTGCGAATAATCCCTCTGGGAATGAAGAGTGCCGGTATTATTTTTTGTCTCTCCTATGTCTGTACTCCTGCCACGTATATTGGGGCGTTTCATATTTTAATATAAGGAACATGAACTGAAAACTAACTACAAAAATGAAAGGGTATATTTTAGTATAATTTACATATGCATGGACTATTTAAATTCACGTTTGGCAAGTAGCTATTCTATAAATGAATTGGAAATAGATTTAAAATCTAATAGAATGTCTTATTATAGAAGATATTACAAAAGAAGACGAATTGTTGCATTTACATTGATCTATATTTATAATGCAATGTATCTCCTAACGTGCGTTTCTTAGCAATTAATGCAAATCATGATAGCTCAACTTTTTGCCCAATCAATCTTGTTGTTGACTGTTACATTATACTTATATCAACTTCAATTTCACGCATACACATCGAAGATCTCACTTTCTAGCCACTGACAAACAAACTGATCGATTGCTCGGAAAATCGCTATGAATCACCGTAAATATTTTGACGGTTTTGAGCATCGTATTACGAAACAATTGCTTTCCAAATAACTTGATAGGTCCTGGGGATCTTTCAAAACTTGATTCGGACTCGTTTGATGGATAGGTCCCGAGGGCAATCGGCAGCAAACGGTAGCTCGTCCGCTTCTTACAATGATGTAACTATGAACACCTAAATCTCTTGACAATTAGATATTCATTTTATTGTTCGTTGTTTTTATATCAATTATTCTCTTCGAATATAAATGCTCATTTAGATTTATCCTTCCATCAGACTATTCGATGTATTCCCATTTATATAGAGATAAAACTGAGCATTTTCGAAATGCAAAAGGCGATAGAGATTCAACTGCAGTAAAGCGAGTCGCAAAAAGCACCGACCGATCTCCACAATGACAAATGATCTGACGAAAACCCTCTGAAGATTTAGAAAAATACCGCTTCGTTGAAATCGTAGACAATTATCGAAATTTGAAAAATAATTGACTCAGCTCGCTTTGTGGATGCCGGCACTTTTTAAATTACTCGATCTAATAATACTATTTACGTAAAAGAGCGCCGATTGTGTGATGTTTAATTTATTTATTACAATATTATATCATTAATTTATAAAAAGTTATAAATATATTCATGATCGATGTAAAAATCCTT